TTAGATTTAATGCCATATGGAACACTTAAAGCGAAGCGAATGAAAAATGAGAGTTCATAGAGGAAGGAAAAATAGCTGGGATAAGACTAATGATGACTGAAGATCTATATTTATACTAAAGTGGCTTTCACATCATCTTGTGTGGTTATACTTTTCGTTATATTTTGTAATTTTTTAAATTTGCATGATCTATGAAGGAGCTCATTTTATCAATGAAGTGGTTCAGTTGCTTCTTTTTGGAGTAATTGAACCATGTCGCTTGATAATATTATTTCGTTCTTATCTCAAATGATGCTAAACATTTTGTTTGCTTCAATTATTTCCTAGGATCCGCTATCTAGTCTTGTACTTTAGCACAGTTAATTTCTTTTCAAACATTTACTTGGCGTGTCTTATGTTTGTTTGCATTATCTGATCATCTTTCTGTGCAAATTCATCTCTCAAAGCTCGCAAAAAGGCTGATGCTCATGAGAGCGATAGGAACATTTAGATATGGAATATCAAGAAACTTATTAAGGCATTGGAAGCTGCAAGAGGTAATGGCACAAGCATGATCTCCCTGATCATGACACCTCATGATCAGGTCTCTCGTGTGGCTAAGATGTTGGGTGATGAATATGGAACTGCTTCTAATATTAAAAGCAGAGTTAATCGGCAATCTGTACTGGCTGCCATAACTTCTGCACAACAAAGGCTAAAGCTTTACAGCAAGGTTCCACCTAATGGTTTAGTTCTATATACTGGGACCATTATTACTGATGATGGAAAAGAAAAAAAAGGTGACTATAGATTTTGAGCCATTTAGGCCTATAAATGAATCACTCTATTTATGTGATAACGAGTTCCACGCTAAGGCACTCAATGAACTTCTTGAATCTGATGAGAAGTTAGGTTTTATTGTCATGGATGGTAATAAATTATCTGTTGATGTAGGCCTTAATCGCGCATTTTATGTTATATACGTTATGTACCTGATTTCTCTTTAGATGTGTAGGTGATTTAAATTATTTCTCATTGTCTTTCAATGATCCACTTATCTAAAATATTACTTTATTATTATTATTTTTACTATTACAAATATTTCAAGGCTACATATATGCATGCCCTTAAATCTGCAATATTTTATGAACTTTCTACAAAAAGAAATACTGATACTAAACCAAGCTAAAGAAATACCCGATGCGAGGATTATTGTGGATGATGTCACAGGACTTATGCATGATTAACCAAGTGTCAAAACCAAGGCGGCCATTGTAGGAGCATGATCATAACAGACACGATTCTCACTTGTTCCATGGGAATGTATATAAAGTGTAAATTATAATATGATTTACATGTCAATCGAATGGCCGTGATTAATAACTCGTCATTTGATGCAATCTTTTCTTTTGTTGTTTTGTCATTTCTACTATACCTTAGGAGCTGTTTGGTACCTTAGTTTTAGTAGAATTGAGGCATGGATTTAAGGTAAGTCCGCCCAAACACCAAAAAAACAAAATATAAAAATTAAATCTAACGTTCCGTTAAATATAAAATTATCATGTTCCGCCTCAGTTTCTCGAACTCTGTCGCTTTTACTATGTAAATTCGGATTTATTGAATCCTATTGCAGGGTAGATTTAAGGCATTTACTCATTCATTGCTCGCGAGCTCTATCTTCGTCGAACAGGATTTGATAAATCTGGATTTACTAGATTTGCTAAATCCTATCACGTTTTGCTCATTTTTTGTTGCATGTTGTCCATTTATGTCATGTTCGTATCATGTTCGTGTCGGTGCTTCGTAAGAATACACTTATCATATAGCATTTTTTTAAGACCTGTACAACTCCATGTGCTGACTTGGCGCGTCTAGCCTATGGCTTGACTATTATAGATAACACACTGAACAAATCATTCATTTTTATCAGAGTAGTGGCAACTTTATTTCTTATCAAAAAACAAAACCAAATGCAGCGACACTTTCATGCTCAACATTATCTTAACTGTGCTAGATATCCTGCCCTTGACTAATAGGAATGTATAGGAATAGCTTTTTTGGTTGATGTTAGCAGATGCTTGCTTGCATCGACAGGTTAGCTGTTACTTTGCCAATCTGTTTGGTGCATTTATTTCCTTAAATTATTACATACTAAAACATTGAGATTATATATATGGATGTATTCGTTCGAGCCAAGGCATTCAACTGCATGGTTTCAATTTGACAAATCACTGATTTGGATTAAAGTTTTACATTCCTGGAATATTGCTAGAGATGACTGATTTATCATTTACTAGTGAGCTATGTATCTACTTTTACAATCTTTATTTTTTAAAAAATGTTTATCACTAATTTTGCATTTCATGCACTTTGTGAAATATACAAAAACATTGGATTCATCATGATTGGAGTCCATTATGATACCTATACTGATGAACAATGCATGTTTAACTTGGCTTGGTCCTGTAAATTTGGCACACAATTGGTAAAATTATCATTTATGGTAGATAATTCTTTAGCTCTATCAGAATATTCTTTGTTTTTCATTTCTCAATTACGTTCACTTGTTGCACTTACTAGGAAATGAAAGCATGAGATTCAATATAAGCTGTTACTTGTTGCAGAATCTAAAATAAGCAAAACGGTTTGAAGCAATCAATCCCATATAACAAAGCCATCTTCTTTGCATGTCAAACACAAAAAAGATGAGGATGGGGATTCACCTTCAAGAGCTCTGGTATGAGACAAGTAGGAACATGATGTTGATCGATAAAACAACCCCTATCGGCTACAAATATGTTCTCGAAAGGATTTATGGAAGCTGAAGAACGAGCTAAACTGATAGAGGAGAAACGAACAGGTGAGAAGAAGAATGAATGAACGCCAGAGAGACACCAACGAACGAATGAGGGGGAGGGGGGAAGGAGATGAGCTTGCTTTCGCGTAACACCCCGAACGAACCGAAAGTTTATCGGGTTTATGAGACAAGTAGGAACATGATGTTGATCAATAAAACAACCCCTATCGGCTGACAAAAATGTTCTAGAAAGGATTTATGGAAGCTGAAGAACGAGTTAAACTGTCAGAGAAGAGAAACGAACAGATGAGAAGAAGAATGAATGAACGCCAGAGAGATACCAACGAACGAATGAGGGAGGAGGGGGGAAGGAGCAGAGCTTGCTTTCGCGTAACAACCCGAACGAACCGGAAGTTTACCGGGTTTAGAGAAGCTAAAAAGCACGAAGGTGGGGACGAGCGCAACGGTTACCTTCCTCAATGGTTCTATGGTAGAAGCGGAGTGGAGCTAAAGGAGTAGAAAGATGGCATTTTCGGAGGTTTTTACACCGCGATCATCTCGTAGCCATACCAGCAGCAAGCTCTAACTGGGACACCTTCGATCGAAGGGGCAATGAGTAAAAATAGAATCGAGGAACGCGGGCCGCGGGGTCAATCCTATCGCCAGTTTTTTGCAAAAACCTCCAGTGCGGTGGCCACGAAGCTCTCCAGCCACATCCCCAAACTGTAGACTTCGGTGGTGGCGTGCCGCGAGGCTCTCCAGTCGTGCCCCCAAACAGATCCTTTTTAGTAAATATTTGAGTTATAAGATAGAGGAACCAAAAGTCCTTAATACATGAAAGTGTCTTCCTATTTATAGATGTTAGAATGTCAAAAAATAAAATAAAGTTATCACTAAAAAAGAAGATAAAACAAAGGAAGAAGAAGAAGAAGAGATAATGATAGACGCTTACAAAATTTCCATCAAAGGAATTACACCGGTTACCTCCTCAATTTATATAGGCGGAGATTCTTCTAGAGGATATTATTGCAGCAGGTATTTAGGATATGAAATCATATACATGGAAGTAGGGGTGTAAACCTCGTGTTCGGCTCGTTTATATTTCGAGCTCAAAAAGTGTGTTCGTGTTTGACTTGATTGCTTAACGAGTCGAACACGAGTTGTTCACGAACAAAGAGCTCTTTTAACAACCCTAATCATGTAGCCATAAGACAATAAGGGTTTGAGTAAGATTTAAAAATTATTATTTATATTAAAACATCATTTGAATCTAATTTAATAATTTTTATTCTATTTTCTTAATCAATATTTTAATTGATTATAAATCTTTGTAGCCTTGTAAGAAAATACTACTTAATATATATATATATATATATATAAACTTGATGAGTATTATTTC